AGGTCTCACTCTCTCACCCAGGCTGGGGTGCAGTGGTGTGATCATAGCTCACTGCAGCCTCGAACTCCTGGGCTTAAGCCATCCTCCTGCCTCAGCTCCCCAAAGTGCTGGGAACACAAGCGTGCACCACTGCACCTGGTCTTGAACTGCTGTAGACAGCAAGGGGAAGACACGAATGCTCAGCATCCGCCAAGGCTGTGCCCCTCAACACCTTAGAAGAGGGTCATGGGAGACATGGGGGAGGGAGAGCTTTGGAGAGGAATATTTGTGCATTGGCAACTTTTCTTGGGGTGTGCATTTGGGAGCTGAAATTTTGGGAGCTTCCTGACTGTGGAAAGGGTCCTCCAGGGTGAGGGCAGACTCGTGGGGTGAGGTCAGCCTGCCTGGGGTGAGGTCTGCCGCTGAGCAGGTGGGCTGCTCAAGCATCTGGACGCGCTGGCCCCCGGCTGCCGGATGCCTGCCGTTTCCTTCTCTCCATCCTTATTTGGCACCCTTGGCCGCGGAGCCACAAGCCGGGAGCTGGGCACCGGCCAGGGCCAGCTGTCGCCCTCTGCTTCCCCGCATGCGTCCCGGAGTCGAGGAGAAAGAATCCCGCGGCTCGGCGGTGAGATAACCAAAGACTCTTTTTTGCTCTTCTCACACCTTTGAAGTGGGGGCCTCTTGAGGCCAATCAGCAAGAATGTGGCTCCTGCAACCGAGGGTCTGGGGGCTGCCGGGGCTGCCCGAGGCAGACGGGCCGTGACAAGCCCTGCTGCACTGATAACTTTAAAAGGGCATCTTCTGCAGGCTCCTCACCCAGCGGCTTTATCACTGCAAGTGACAGAATGGGGAGGGTTCCGTCCCTCGCGCGCGCTCAGCGAGCCGGGGGGCTATAAAAAGAGGTGGCGCTGGGCAGCCTGCAGACAGGGACGGGCGGAGGCCGAGGGGGAATCCAGGGAGGACTGACAACAGGCACATTACTCCTTACCCGACGCCGGCATGGGCTCCTTCTCGGCCACCACCATGAGCTTCCTCCTCTTCCTGGCACTCCAGCTGCCGGGTCCAGATGGAGCTAATCCTGTGTACAACGCCATGTCTGAGGCAGACCTAATGAATTTCAAGGTAGGGCCGGGAGAGGGGACACCATTTGGGACCGGGGGCCTTTCTGATGCTGTGCCCATTCCGCTTGCTCTTCCCCGAGTCAATGAGACCTCTCCTTTCCCCTGCATTTTCCTTTTGTAAAGGATTTGCTGGACCACTTGGAGGACAAGATGCCTTTAGAAGATGAGGCCGTGCCTCCACAAGTGCTGAGCGAGCAGAATGATGAAGTGGGGGGAGCCCTCAGCCCCCTCGCTGAGGTGCTTCCCTGGACCGGGGAGGCCAGCCCTGCCCAGAGAGACGAGGGTGCCCTCAGGCGGAGCCCCTGGGACTCCGCCAACAGATCTGCGAACCTGAAAAATAGGCTGAGGACGATGCTCTCTCTGCCCCGAAGCCTGCGGAGGTCCAGCTGTTTTGGGGGCAGGATCGACAGGATCGGAGCCCAGAGTGGACTGGGCTGCAACAGCTTCCGGGTAAGAGGGTCTGGAGGTGGGGGAGGGACAGGGCAGGAGAAAATGTGGCTTTGTTCAGGTTCAAATCTTGTCAAAGGATAATACTAGGGGACAGCTTCAGCAGGAAAGGGACCAGTGTAGAAATTCATTCCCTTTGAAATTTCTGCCCTGACTTGGCAGGTGCCCCGTGATTCTCAGGACAATGCCATCCTCAGCTACGGCCTGCCAAGGAAAATTTTTTTTTTTTGAGTTCGAGTCTCACTCTGTCACCCAGGCT